CTTTTTTTGGGTTTATGAAAAATTTATACTTTTGAGGAGAAAGCAAACTTTTGTCAATTCTTTTGAGGTTGGCAAAGTGAAACCCTTTTTAATGGTTTCAGGATCGCACACTCAATAATTAAACTTAGTTTCTTAGATTTGTTGAGAATAAAGCTTAAGGATCTATGGTTTGTTCTTAATTTTGCAGATGAAATTTGATTGGAAATGCTGGGGAATAGATCTAGACCAATGAGCAGTAAACAGGGTGTAACGGGTCCTCCAAGATTCTTCAATGGAATTTTGTCAAAAGCTATGCATGATGCAGAAAGTTTAATCAGCCCAAAATCAATTCTTGATTACCAAAATTCACCAAATTTTCACAACCCATTAGGTTATCATAAAAACCTGTCAAAACACACAAATTATTTTCCAGAAATCAGCAATAAATTGGAGTCAGAAGGGATTGGGCTAGCCATGATTGACTCTCTCAATCATCAAGAGAACGATGAAAATGTTTCTAAGCCAATTAGCAGAATGATTTTGGTTGGAGCGAAACTCAACGTAAAAATTCCTTCTGATAATCATATCCATACCTCTGCACCTTCTCCATCGGAATCGCCGAATTCTCCAGCTGATTTCGGTATCAGTACTCGAAATTCTCCGGTTTTAAGCCCATTTTCGCTGCCTTCTCCAGCTGAATTGCCCAAATCCGCAGCTGGTCTTGGAATCAAGACTCGAAACTTTCCAGTTTTATGTCCACTGCCTCCACATTCTCCAGCTGAATCCCCAAAATCACTTGCTGATTTTGGAATCAAGACTCGAATTTCTCCTATTTCAAGTCCAAATTCAGGTATTCATGCCAAGAATTCACCTCAAAAGAAATCTACTAAGCAACTTTCATTGAAAGATATGAAGCTTTCTGAGGATTATACTTGTGTAATCACTCATGGGCCTAATCCCAAAACCACTCATATATTTGATAACTGCATTGTGGAAAGCTGTTGTGGTGTTGTCAAATTTTCTGAAAACAAAACAAAAGACGAGTTTTCAAGAAAT